TAACATGCTAAACTAAGATGGTACACATGGTTAACTTTACTTCCTCCTCAGAGATGCATCTATTTCGGTATCGATTCATTGTTTTGAATCATTCTTTAAGAAAAAAATGTCTGTTTCTTTTGTTCTCTGTGACAGTAAACTGAATATCTTTGGGTTGTAGACATTTGAGGATGCCACCTTGGGGCTTTGAAAAACACTGATCTGTATTTTTCATCATTTTCTGACATTTTCTGGACCAAGCAACTAATCGATTAATGGAGAAAATGATAAACAGATTAATTGACAAGGAAAATAATTGTTAGTAGTCCCTCGTGAAAATGTCATGACAGTTTATAGACCAACCAAGTTATTGGTTTAATGAGAATTTAACCAGCAGATTAATTGATTGTAGCCCTACCAATATAGAATACCCTTGATTCTCTACGAGCCTACGTGAGCACATTTCACTTTTACACCGGAATATCAATGGATGGACTTTAGCTTATCGTGATCTCAGAGTATCCATTTTACAGCCAAATAATGCAAATAATTATTTCTTTAAATCAAACTTATCTTCATGAGGAAAATGTCACTGAACTGGAAGGGTATGTATGGTTTGGTTTAAATAGGAAAACACATCACAGCATTTAGAGCACCAGGAGGGGGTAGGGTTGTTAGGAAGGTCTAATTTATTTCAAGAAGTCGACGGTATTATAGGCCTTTCATTTCAGTACTGAACTGTTATATTTAACTTCACTGTCATAAAACAAATATATTTATAGAGTACATCATATTTCACAATTAAAGCTGCAGTAGGGAACTTAAACAAAAAAAAACTTTTAGTTATATTTGCTGAATCTTTTACTATATCCTGACAGTAGTACATGAGACAATTATTGTATGGAAAAATCAGCTTCCTCTGGCTCCTCCTAGTGCCTCTAATGGCAACTGCAAGAATCCACCAGGCCCGAACAAAAACAACTCAGAAAAGACAGAAAGACGCTTTGGGTTGGAGGCTTGAAGACAATTGACTGTTGAGTCACATTTACAGTCCCAAAAGACTGACTTTGACTCTCTAACAATGAGACTAAACAATCAACTGTCTTTCTTGGCTCTGATTGGTTGTTTTTGTTTGGGCTCAGTGGATTCTTACAAACATCATTAGGAGCACTAGGAGGAGCCAGAGGAACCTGTTGTTTCCACACGTTAATTGTCTCATGTACTACTGTCAGGATGCAGTAAAAGTTTAAGCAAATATGACAAAAAATATTTTATATAAAAAGTGTTAATGCTACAGTTCAAACAGTAGTTCTGCTCCAGTTGTCATCAAAGAAAGTGAAATAAATGAAGTCTGAGCTCTCGCGGGCACAAAAGTTAAATTAAGATCCTGCCACTTTGTGTCATGTGGTCAGCTAATAAGCTAAACCTCTAAAGACACAATTAATCCGCTCTTAATTCCACATTTTTTAACGTGATGTAACTGTTGTCGTAGTGATTTTGACCATAATAGCATCTGGAGTATCAGGCCATGAAAAGACTTTTTAATTAACACTGAATGTTTTTTAAATGGTTCAAGATACTGAGGAAGAATTTCCACCACTCACAAGTCTGCTTAATATACCGGGGTAATATATAAGGGATTCTGTTGTTTTTCAAGCACTAAAATGCTCTGCTAATTAAGTAATTAGCATTGTTACTGTATCGTGTGGTTTTCCCCCCACCGAGCAGCACTTTTCAGTCCGACCTGATAGTTCCTGGTGTTGTGTTGACCCACTAGGTTGAGCTGTTTTCTCCACATTCACTCTGTGGAGCTTATGACCTGAAACAAGCAGCTCTGTGTACAAAACAAGACATCAGACAGAACAACCACTTACAACCAAAACACGTCCTGACCTTTGGCATAAAGTTTCCACTGCACTTTCTCTGAACAAAGCCACGATTCTTTATATTCCTGAGGTTTGTTGTTCACAATGAGATTTTCCAAGAGGGTCCTTTTGTATTCTAAAGTTAGACTAAAGGTCTGTCATCCACTGCTGACAATAGGGATGAAAGGATGAACTCTGGAAACAACTTAGGCAATTGGCTTGTTTCCTCTCCTGCTCGGGGCACTTACAACTCCATTACATGCTCACTTATTGCAAATGACATTGTGCCACCCATCTGTGGCTCACTGGAACAGAACCGAGTACACGGGTGGCTAGTCTTAGCTCTTGCCCCAGGGCTTTCTGCCACCTCTAATGACCTTCGAAACCTCAACGCTGCAAAATATTTGCGTCTTTGCCTCTCGCTCGCTTGTCAAATGATCCATCTGGCAGTGCTCCACTTGTTTGAGGACTTTTTCTCTCTGCACTGGAAGTCCTCTAAAATGCCGTTTAAAGGCCAGAGCGCTTCTAGGTGATCAGGTCAGGGGTTGTGTCGTCTGTTCCTGAAGGTTAATGGTTTATCCAAGCTTCAAAGCGCCAAGTGGAGCAGAGCACATGTTTGGTTTTGCTCCATCAGAAATAGCGTTTAATGTTGCTTTTAAAGAGGAAGCACTTGAAACCAGACGCAGGATTTGTTGGTCTGTAACTGTTCGTATATCAGTCGGTTTGAGATTTTCCTCTCTTACTACTGCTGTATGATTTGTCTTGAAGACCAATGTGACCTTCAGAATTACCAGTCTCGCATGATTCAGTGTTTTAAAGCTCAATAGTCTCATATTTATGAAACAGAGTCAGTCCTGTTGTGTCAGCAGTGACTCCTCTTCTTCTTCCAATTTGTGCAATATTGATTGTTTTCTTTCTCATGACATCTGAATTTGATCAGATTTCACTGTGAAACACGATCGCAAACATTGCTTATCACCTTGACCACATCTTGTTTTGTGTTTTAATCATTCAGGCATTGTATTTCCACTCTTTATGCTGCAGCTCGGGTTACCGATTGTTCTGCTGTCCACAACCTTAACTTACTTGTTGCCTCAGCTCAGTTTGACACCTTCAAACAACCAGCTACTAATTTTATAGTATGCATCTGGTTGAATCGTCAAAAAGGGTCATATATGTTATTCATTAGCCACTTTTAAGTCTTTTTAAGAATGTACATTCTTTTCCAGAGCATTTATTCTGAGTAAACAGTAAAATAAACACTTTTTTTTAGTATCTAAATGCTTCCATGAGACCAAAATATCTTCAACAATTCACAAGATTTCACAGAATTCACAGATCTCCACATTTAATATTGAATTCAACAGTTTGACATTGCAATTTCTGCATAAATGTAACAGAAACATCAGATTTCCCAGATCGATTCCTACCTTGTCTGTAACAGTAAATGCTGGAGGAGCTGCAGGAATGTCTGTACCTGGGGAGGGAAGCTCTCCGAGGGGCTGTACAGTAGCGCCAACAGTCACCTAGTGGAATGAGCCGGGCCTCTTGTCACTGCAAAAACTAAAGATTAACACCTCCCTTCAGCATCACATGGTGTCAAACAGACAGGTGAGTGTTTGTATCTCTGAGTGTGTGTGTCTGCAGGTGGATGTGAATATTCATGAGTGTGTGTGTGTGTGT